CACATTCACTTCTCGCGTATAAGTCATAACAACTTCTATATCCGTTTTCTTGTTACGCAATAACTTGTAGTGTAACCTTCACACTACACTTGGCATTGAAATTAAATAATGAAAGTGAAATACTTATTCAGTCCCTTATACGGATTTAGTGATGATGTTAAATGTTAATCTTAGTAAAATCAATGTGTTTGTGAAGATGACTTAATGTTTAACGATGTATAAATAATTTAATTTGTGAAATGTAATTGGGTAATTGCCAACTATTAAAATTCAATACTTTTTTCGAACTGTCAAAAACTACATTTTTCTATGAATTTTGTACGACATTATTGTATTATTGTGACGTGACGTTTTTTAGCGTCAACAGGTACTTAATAATTTGCTGGAAAAATACTGAAATTTTATAAATTGGTCATAAAATTAATCAATGAAAAACCCAATTAAACTTTGTTATGTTAGACTACATAAGAAATTTTCATCTCATTCAATAAGACTGTTGATAGATTAGTTTTTATCAATCATTATTTAGTTTACATTTTGAATAAATACATATTTTATGTAAAAAATATAAATAAACTATTAGCTAATTAAAATTTTAGTATGACTGTCCTTGTACATTTTCAGACCATCAGAAGGATAATTTTTCTTGGACGTATCAATACTTCGTTTTAAAATTTCATTATTTTTATACAAAAACTTTAGTCACGTACTTCAAACAGCTGATTTAAAAAATCAATACATAGTATAAAACAAAGTCGCTATTCGCCATCTGTCTGTCCCTATGTATATTTAAAACTACGCAACGGATTTTGATGCGGTTTTTTTATTAGAAAGAGTGATTCTTAATGTAGGTTTATATTTTTTCTTTTTCTTTTTTTCTTTTAAAAAAACGTTGCCCCACACTAGGATTTTCTCTTGTGTCGTGGGTGCGTTTACAAACATACAATATCACATACACATGACACCCAGACCCGGAACAACAATCTGTGGATCACACAAAGAATTGTTGCGTGCGGGAATCGAACCCGTGACACGTTGCGCGGCAGCCAGTTGCCCAGCCACCGCGCCAACCGAACCAATATAGTACATGCATATGGCACTCGTGTGAAGTCGGGGCGGGTCGCTAGTAAATAATAAAGTACAAACTTAGGTATTAAAAAGAAATCAGCACTGGTATGGGTTCGAAAATTTTCTTGTTTTTCTCAAGTTATAGGTAAAGTTGATTTCACCTGAATTTCGAAAGGTTTAGTACTTCGAAGGCCTTTATTAGAACTTGAAGTTGATTCTAAGGCTTCGATTTCTCATTATTTCATTTGCTGATTGTATTTCTTTACGAAGTTACTGCAAAATCAGATTCCTAGGAACGGGATCGTGTTTATGGCAATGTTTTTAAGAGTTTCAAGGGTTGCTGCCGTGTTTTTGTATTTGTATTTGTTAGGGACTTACTTTTTATTTGATACACAATCCGTCGAATTATTTCTTTTGCGTTATGTCCACCCAAAAGTTGTCTGATAGAAATACTATAAGTGATAAGACCTCCTTTGTGTCTTTTTTATTTTTTATTTGTGTTTGTCATTTCCTTTTCTGTGTGTACTTTATTATTAATGGTGTACAATAAAGATTATGCTATTCTATTCTTGATTCTACTACTGTTACATTTTTAACTAAACTCTATTTAATCGCACATTCAACGAACAGGTATAAACTTATTAAATTGATGACTTTGCTACCTTCTTCATCAATTTTTTCCCAATGCTAATTTTAGTTGGGGCAACTATTATTTTTAATGAAGTATCTATCAAATAAGTATGTGGTTGTTAGGAATACATAGCAAAAACTTATATTGACTGCACGGTTGGTGCGGTGACTGGGCAACCGGCTGCCGTGCAACGTGTCGCGAGTTCGATTCCCGCACGAAACAACACTTTATGTGATCCACAAAATGTTGTTTCGGGTCTGGGTGTCATGTGTATTTGAAATTGTATGTTTGTAAAGGCACCCACGAAACAGGAGAAAATCCTAATGTGGGCCAAACGTTTTTTAAAAAAAATGTATAATTATCTACCTATGAAATTTAATCGATTTTAAGTGCCGTTACCGAGCTATATTTCTAACAACCTGAACCCGTTGAAAATCATCCCCTAAATTTGATCATACAAAAGTAGTCTCTAAACATTGGAAATAGGGTCTATAATGTAGTTAGTGGAGAGCAGTTACCGGTGACCGCTTGATATATGGGGAAATGAATTACTTAGGTCGAAATCATAACGCGATTATGCAATTTGCGGTTTTATTTGTAACTATTCAAAGATACATAAATCTTGGTTAATTCGCCTAACCTTTATAGAAGTTGTTACATCTTCTTCAGTTAAAAGTGAATGTGTTTATTATAGGTGACCTCTAACTACACAATCAATTGCCTGAAAGTAAACTATTACTGCGAATGTTGGTCAGGGTGATATTGGAATCTAGAATATTCTTTCTTTACATCATAGCTATCGTTGATTTATTGAGCGCAATAACCAAATGTTGAACAAGTAAATTTTTTTTTTTTTTTTGGTTTTTATACCTAATTCAAAATTCATCTATGCTCTTATTACTTGATAGTGGCTGCCAACGCGTCTGCCAGTAGGTATGCCGAGACTTTTCCGGGTTGGACAAAGTGCGAAAATTCTAAAACTCTCAGTAATAAACAGGGCGGAATCTGGAATTAGGCACAGGGTATCGTTGTTTGCCTCTGCTTACCCTTCGCAATATATTAATCCATAATATCCATAATTATTAATTTCCAAAAAGACCGAAAAAAAACAGAACATTCCAATTTTAAAATATTCTGTTTTTTTTTTAGTTGTCCTTTTTTTCATGGGACTTGTATTGTTTGTATTCCATGTTCCTAACCTATTTGGTGTAAATTATATGTTCTGGGGTTAATTAAGAAGTGTGGAGTTTTAATACACACTTGATGAATTAAAACCGAAGTTGATAACAACAATAACATAGAAAAAAGTACTACAGAACGTGATAATATTTATTTACAAATTACGTTTAAAAAACCGACTTCAACCCCCACTGATTCTGAAGTTGATTAGGTACTGAATATGGGGTATTCCACTTTGCGCACCTAAATGAAGCGCACCCAGACGAAGCGCACCTAAAGTATTCCACTTTAAGCACCTGTAGGTGCGCTTAAAATAAAAATTTTAAATAAATAGTTTTTCTATTCCACGAACCGCACCTACGAATATCACTCGCATAGTGCGGAGACTAAGAAATAAAAATATCGATATAAGAAAATATTTATTATTTAAAAGACTAACTTAAATATCTAACATCTGTCAGTTTCACAATACCTCTATAGTGCTAGTTTCATAATAATATTTTGATTTTGTAATCTTACTATTTAAAATCACAGATTGTTTCATAATTACAATAAAAACATGGACAAATATGAAAAACATTGTAAATATGGTTTAACATAAAGATCTGTTGAAGTTTTCTTATAGCTACATGTTTAGTGAACAATAAAAATACTCTACTTTAACATAAAAAATCACGGATTGTTTCATAATTACAATAAAAACATGGACAAATATCAATATTGTGTCACATTATTATAATGAAACTGAATGATGTTAGAAATTTAAGTTAGTCTTTTAAATAATAAATATGTTCTTATATCGATATTTTTATTTCTTAGTCTCCGCACTATGCGAGTGATATTCGTAGGTGCGCTTCGTGGAATAGAAAAACTATTTATTTAAAATTTTTATTTTAAGCGCACCTACAGGTGCGCAAAGTGGAATACTTTAGGTGCGCTTCGTCTGGGTGCGCTTCATTTAGGTGCGCAAAGTGGAATACCCCCTGAATATATTTTTTACGCATTAAAATCGGTTCAGCTAATCGCGAGATACCTATTAGCGCACAAACATACATACCTACATCCAAGAGAAGTCGAACCTCTTTTTTTAAATCGATTAAAAATTAAACTAGTTATTAGGACTTCAGCATTCTTACAATAATCAGTAAGCACATTCACCTTATGTAAATATTTGTAATAAATAACTATAATTATGTATTATTTACACATAAATGCCTACATTAGAACTTCATGTATTACCAAATAAAATGTAGCTATTTAATAGCTTTAGCACCTTATAAATCAGCTGTTCATACTTGTAATTTACAATTTCCTGCCTGTTTATTGTGGTGAGAGTTTCATGTTAAAATGGTGGAATAATAATTGAATAGTAACTTGATGTTTTCCCTTAAGTACACCACTCAAAATAGAGTTTGGTGTTTATAGATAGATCTCGTCGAATTGAAATTAAATAAGTGACAGTCGGATTTTATACTGCCAAGTAATATGGCATTATATGTAAAGTTTAACAGACTAACTGCGATACTTAGAGACATTTTATGATTACTCAAACTATTACTTAGTAACGTATTTTGTTCCGAAATCAATTGCTAAGGGGCAATTGCCCCTATTACATGGGACTCATAACATAAATAGTGAAAAATGGGTGTTTCATTGTACAGTGGCATAATGTGCACCTCTGCCTACCTCTTCGGGGATAAAAGGCGTGATGTTATGTTATGTTACGTATTTTTCAATTCTTCCATACTGAATACTGTCAAATGACAATTTTATTCTTCAGTTAAAAATAAACTGACGATTGAAAAATTGACCCTAATATTAATTTAACTATTAAGATATTATTATTACTTAATGATTAAGATTTAACATGAGACATTTGAAAACTAGATTATATTTTTCGTTTGTAAGCCTCTGCTTATCATTTCTAATAAATAATTATACCTATGTTGTCTTATAAACAAAAACGAACCTATTAATCTATTTTGCCTAGTGTAAATATCTATAACTATAGACTCAAGAACAAGGCATTATGCAAGTCATCATTTGGAAAATTAGAAAAAAAAATTTGCTATCTTATTTATTGTTCTTCAATCCACTAACAGAAGATCTCTTTTGTCACCAGGATCCAACTCGAGTAGTCTGCCCAGTGATCGATGTCATCAGTATGGATACATTCCAGTACATCGGTGCGTCGGCGGACCTGCGCGGCGGGTTCGATTGGAACCTGGTTTTCAAGGTAAAACATTCACTGATCAGTATTTAGTAATTTAGTGACCAGTTTATACTGAACTCCCATTGGTTAGAATGTGCCCGGATATGTGGACAGAGTGAAGGTTTGAACAGATTTGGCTGGTTTTGAAATGTATGTTATGTTTTTTGTAAAGTTAAACAAATTATGTAATCTAGAATGAACCGTTTAATTGGTCATTTGTCTTATTTTTGCTTGTGTATCTTTAAACGTAAATAGTGGTGAGATTGATCACCAATTGGTAATTAACTACTTACAATTTGTTTTTTATATTATGTAGTTTTTAATGCTTGACCGCAGCTTTGTCTACTTTGACTGTATTAATTTATAATCAGAAGACTGTTTGCTTTACTTACTTCTCCGATACCGCAAAATTGATACTAATTCCTTTGTGCACATTCTATTTTAGAGCCGATTTTTCTATCATCAGTATTGATATTTGACAGTTTCTAGTATGAAAGAATTGTCAAATATTCAAAGTTATTCCTGAGTTAACATTTATCAGAGCATTGAAAATTAGCCCTTAATCACATAAAATTGGCTTCTATACTTTCAACCACAATCAAAACACTAACGACTGTCATAATCTCATTCCAGTGGGAATACCTAGGCCACGCTGAACGTAGCGCTCGGCTGAGTGACCCCACCCAGGTGATCCGGACTCCGATGATCGCTGGGGGGCTGTTCAGCATGGACCGCAAGTACTTCAGCAAGCTTGGCAAGTATGACATGAAGATGGACGTCTGGGGAGGAGAGAATTTGGAGATCTCGTTTAGGTGAGCTTAAATAAGATCTGTAGGTACACAAGAATAACAAATAAAGAATAACAATTAAAACCCCACTATTTTTGTCTTATATTTAAAACTCGTGAGACATATTGAATTAAATTATGTTTTGCGTATTTAACTACATACTCATGTATCTATTAGACAAGAAAACTCATGCCGTTGAGCAGTATTACGCCACACTCGACGTGGTGAAGTTACCGCAGCCAATTGACAGAACAATACAGTTGGGTGCTCAATCATTTCAGAATATTTCACTACTATACATTTGTTTCATTTGGGACAGACTGCAACCGAAACTGACGCCAATCATCAAGAAACCTAATTATGAAATTCAACTTGTAACAGAAATATCCTATCATTCCAGGGTTTGGCAATGCGGTGGCTCCTTGGAGATTGTTCCATGCTCTCGAGTGGGCCACGTCTTCAGGAAGCGACACCCCTACACCTTCCCTGGTGGATCTGGAGCAGTCTTCGCTAGGAACACGAGGAGAGCTGCTGAAGTGTGGATGGATGATTATAAGGAGCTATATTATCGGTCTCAGCCGTTGGCCAAGCAAGTTGATTATGGAGAGTAAGTACATTAATTGTATATGCACTCGATTTGACCAGAGTTTATACCATTTGTGTAAGAGGATAAAAATCAAAGAGTACCTGAATATCAAGCTTAAAATCACGCAAGTTTTGCATGACTTTGAGCTAAAATAGCCTTTCTTATTACAATTACAAAATTTACCGCAAGTAATGAAAGTGTGAATTACAAAAACTGGTTACGAAAGGAAGACGCCGACTCTAATTGGGCTTTTTGTAAACACTCTTCTGGCACAGCACAGTCGGTATTGTACTAGGTGTTTTTTATTGGTATGAATATCATTTATACCTTTAATGTGTTTTTTTCACGAATTATCTGATTCATTCAAGGTTACAAATTTGGAAGAACTGGGGATGATCTCATCGAGTCATCCAGATCAGTTGTTTTTCTGAATTTTAATGAACTGTAATGTTTTTATCATCTGATTGCTTACCAGAACCAGAACTTTCAGATTAAGATAATTGTTGCACTGATTCTGATTCGATCGATTCTAATCCTAATTCTACAGTTGTTGCATACATTATCATTCTATAGATAGAAAGATCAAGAAACTAAATATCTATTTTCATTTTTTCCGCAGCATATCAGAACGAGTGGATCTTCGTCAGAAGCTTCACTGCAAACCTTTCCGTTGGTACCTAGAACACGTGTATCCAGAACTGCAAGTACCAGCGCTGAAAGAAGCTTCTCATGTCATCAAACAAGGAGTCAGGTGTCTAGATACCATGGGACATCTTGTTGATGGGAGCTTAGGTAAACAATGTTTTATTGTACTATTATGTTTTAGATAGAAACCACATAAAAATGACCCACATTGTTGTACACCATCTAGCATCTAGCAATATTATTTCACATTTCCATTGAATTTGTAGATTATTCTCGTTTCCACAGTTACATGTAGATTAGATTCAATTGACTGCACGGTTGGTGGTGTGGCTGGGCAACCGAATGCCATGACTCTGTGCGATTCACAAATTGTTGTTTCGGGTCTGGGAGTCATATGTATGTGAAATGTGTTTGTAAACGAATCTAGGACATAGTAGAAAATCCTAGTACGAGGCAGCGTTAAATAAACTCCCTTCAACATGCAACCCACAAATGTGGTATAATACTAATTTTGTTTTCATATTTCCAGGCCTGTACCCCTGCCACTACACAGGTGGCAACCAAGAATGGCGTTTCGAAAACGGTCTCATCCGTCACCATCGTCTCTGCGTCTCGCTCTCATCAGAAGACCGCGTCACCGCAGTCCTGGCTGCCTGCGACCCTACAGATGATGCACAAATTTGGCGACGACAGGGACCTTTGATCAGACATGCCAAACTCGACGCATGCCTCGACACAGCAAGACCAGCCCTCTACATAGAACAATGTGATGAAGACAAACCCAGCCAACAGTTCAGTTTTTAAAGAAAGACAGTAATAGAAAGAATGAGATCAAAACTAGTGAAGAAACATCTCCATTACAGGAGATGCGGATAAAAACAGATAATACAACAGAAGAACCACACGTTCTTCTGTACCTACATTTAAAGAGAAGAATTTGTTCTCAGTTTCAACACACACAATTACAAAACTGTAGATTCGGTAAGTATTTCCGCAGAATCAATTGCAGCTGAGAATATTACACGAAGAAGAAGAAACAAGGACATGAGAATAGAGGGAGTAATGAAAGGGATAGTGATCTAAACATTATCAGGGATATAGTCACAAATAAGACTTGTAATACTTCGCTTTACACCACATTAGCTTCGGTACGACAGTACCCCTAGTATTAGGGCACCGTAATCTTCCTCGTAGTAAGGTGCCAAATTAATTTACCATTTTGTAAATATTATTTTAAGAATCACAATTTTTAACATTCCATTTTTCTTATGTCACAGTTTTTTTTTGTATTATTATGTTTTCAATTTTATTACACTTCACATTTTATTTATTAGTTTTATAGTATAATTTAATGGTTATTATATATAGTTTATATTATAACTAAAACTCACTGGCCGGCTTGACTGCCTCATTGGCCGAGTGGTCGCAAGTGCGACTGCCGGGCAAGGGGTCTCGGGTTCGATTCCCGGGTCGGGCAAAGTATTACTGAGTTTTTAAAAATCTCAGTAGTAGCACGGAGTCTGGACAAATGTGCCCGGTATATGGCAATAGGCTCACCCCCTATTACATGGGACTCATAACATAAATAGTGAAAAGTGGGTGTTACATTTGTACAGTGGCATTGAGTGCCGAAATGTGCACCTCTGCCTACCCCTTCGGGGATAAAAAGGCGTGATGTTATGTTATGTAACTAAAACCTTAGTATAATGTAGTTACCATTATTATAGTTAGTTCACTATAAGTGCCGGGAATGTGGAATGTGGATATATTTGTAAAGAATACTTAGGGAATACAAAATGAAGAATTGGTGTGGGATTTTACACCTCTTATTATATAGAATAGTAATCAAGAAAGATACAAAATGAGTCTCTGTAGTTTTCTTAGTGTATTAGTAGATTTTATTGGGTTTCTAAGAACAATATTTTAGTGCTCAATTAAATTTTTAACGATATTTTATTTAACTGGTTCTCAAAATAATTATGTTTAGTGGGAAAATATTTTACTTTGGGATTTTAAATTTTTATGCACCTTAAATCTGGAGGGTTTAATATCTTTTTTCTAATTCTTTAGTAAAATTAATATTTTCATTATCATTCGACATCGTGTACCAGCAACTTAACCTACTCAATTGACTGAAAACCACAGATGCTACCTTCATGGGTTAATTTTCATATTATTTTACAATTGTCTTTCAACATCATCATCATCAGCCCGTATTGGTCCATTGCTGGACATAGGCCTCTCCAATGGCACGCCACTGAGCTCGGTCTTCAGCTATACTCATCCAACCACTGCCAGCCACCTTGCGGATATCGTCACTCCACCTAGCTGGAGGGCGCCCTACACTGCGTTTGCCTAGACGCAGTCACCATTCTAGAACACGTTTACCCCAACGGTTATCGGTTCTTCGACAAATGTGGCCGGCCCACTGCCACTTTAGCTTACTGATCTTTTGGGCTATGTCGATTATCTCTTGAAAATTCTTTGCAAATTTCATTGAGCTCTTTGTGGTAACTAAAATTAGTATATAGCATTAAAAAATTCTTTACAATTAGATTCAAGTATGGGAAGCCCCATTATAATTTGATCTAAATATTCTATAACAATTTGTACATTAAATAATTTTGACAGTTCAGAGTAGGTTTAAGTGCTGGTAGGTCTATCTATCTGATAGGTACCTATATAAAAATATTTTAAAATAAGAACGATAAATTAGTATGTTCTCGCCTTACAGTACAAGCTACGATCACAATATTAGTTAATATTAGTATTTAATGTAAGTTTATTAATTTTATTTAAGATGCTCAAAGAACATAATTACATAAAAAGACAGTTATGAAAAGACGTTCCTTTGAAGAACCACGCTCTCGAAGAAGTGTGCTGGAAAGAGCAAATCTCGAAAACAACTGATTCAATTAGGATGAAACTTTCTCAAGTATTTTTCAAAGTTCCAGAAAGGTTCTAGTGAAAAGTATAGGTTGAGGTCAGTCGAATCAGCTACTCTGAAATAAAAATTAAGGCCTAAATTCTTTACCTAAAATCTCGTATCTATGTATAGAATATGTTAATCGTTTAATACTCGTTATATTAAGTTAAATATTTTTATTTACAATTGTTATTTTAATTTGTCAAAAAAAAGTATTAATTTATTGTAAATATGTTCGTCGTTTTGTACTTTTTCTATCTTTTCCTTTTGTAAAATTAGTAATTGGAAATTTAATATTGGTGTGAGAATAACTTCAGGTGAATGGATGAGTGAATGAATTTGAATGAACTAAATCAATGTTTGAATGAGTTTTCCATCAAGACATCACAAAAACTGCCATGGCAAAAAATACAACTTCAAGGTAAACATTCAATTATTACGAATCGTATAATGTGTGCTCAATATTAATCAAAAATTGAACATGAACGAATTTTGTAGAAAAAGACAATACCATAGTTACTATTGTGGACAAATATCTAATATTATGAACGAACTACAATATCGTGTAGACAAAACAGTTTGTTGATTATATTCTAAAAAAAATTACCAACAATTTATGGAATAGGTACTGTTAAAATATTTTTTTAAGTAAAAAATCTGATTTAATTATGTTTGTATTGGAAACTATGATTACTATTTGTCTTAAGTGATATATTTTGGTTACTTTTGTTAATACTAACACTTGGTAAAAAAACCATTGCCCATATCGAAATGTATTTTATATTGTTCATGATAAAGTTATAGGAAAATTGGAAAAAAAAATATTTTTAGTAATAATGGGCAGCTTTCACTAACTATATTCGATAATGTAGAAAAGTAACTATTCGATATTTGCACGTTAACAAATGCGTCTATTATGAATACGAACATTCCTAAGTAATTTTAATATAATTCCAACACGATTTATGTAAATAAATTAATATTATATATGAATAGCATACTTTGTACTTATGACAAAAATATGACTTCAATAATAATATACACCTGGGAGCAATAAGGCCACTAGCATTTTTTTTTTCATTTTTTGAACCCACTATAACTTCAAAAAAAAAATACTACTTTAAAACAAAATGCTCTCATTTTAAAGGTTTATGTTCCTTTAACATAAGAATGTTGGCTTTGTTAGTAGTAGTTTCTTTTATTTCAGTTTACTAAAATTTTATTTTCCTTGTACATTTGTATAGTTATTTTATCACTTAATATTGTAAAGTTGGTTAACCTATAATTGGCGACTGTATAATATTCAATACCTATTGTTACCTTTTTTATTTCTTAATACTATGTTTAACAGAAGCTGTTGATATACCCATTTTAATAAATTAATTAAACTGTCAAACACCAAGCGGTCACCGGTGACCGCGACCTATTGTTCTTTAATTGTGTCTATAAAACCGGTACTCGACGAGTTAAAAAGATAACTAAATTGTAAATATTAATTGGTAACGTATGTTGTATAACCTTTTTTATGTACCTTACCTTTTATACGACATACGTTACCAACTAAAAAATATTTATAACAGAAAATAAAAAAGAAAAGAAATTAAAAAGAAAAAATACGAGTCGCTCCGTGTCTTTGCTCTCAAGTGTAGATTAAAAAAAACTACATTACGTGCACTATAGCACCACCTAGATAGAGCACAATAAGTAGATATTAAATAATAATAAAAGTTGTAAACTTTATTGAAATTTTATTATTTTTTTTGTGTTAAGTGGCAAAATGACTGCCCTAGTCAGATTTTGTTGAAACGACTTTATGTTCACTTTGAACTAAAGAGGATGCGTGATTTTATTTTAGTGAGAAATTCATTTGGTAAATAAAACTACGTTTGATGAAATAAATTTGTTTTATTTTCACATCTTCATTATGGTTTAGATTTATTATACCGGAACCTATTTATTATGGAAAATAATTTTATGAAATGGAGTATTTTGTGAAAGAAATTATACATGTTTGTAAAGTAACATAACATAACATAACTTCACGCCTTTATGTCCCTGAAGGGGTAGGCAGAGGTGCACATTACGGCACTTAATGCCACTGAACAGTGTAACACCCACATTTCAATTTTTATGAGTCCCATGTCATTGGGGGTGAGCCTGTTGCCATATACCGGGCACAAATTCAGACTCCGTGCTACTACTGACATTTTTTTTAAAACCCAGTAATACTTTGCCCGACCCGGGAATCGACCCTTGCCCCGGCAGTCGCACTTGCGACCACTCGGCCAATGAGGCTTTTGCTTTTAAAGTATAACTTTAGTAAATAAAGATATACATATGTATTAGTATTAACATCTTATCGGTACATCACATCAAATCAACAGCCTATCCACTGCTGACCAAAGGCCTGTTCTCACACGGAGAAGATTTTAGCATTAATCCCCACGCTTGCTTGATGCAGGATTTCGAACTTATAATTACAAATTATAAGCCCAGATTACCTCACGATGTTTTCCTTCACCGTTTATCAGTGGTGTCTAAACAATCTTAGAAAGGTCATGTTATCGGGAAAAGTCACATTGGTACTTGGCGTTGATAGGTTTACGTAAGAAGCGAGAAATGAGAAATTGAAAACCCCAAACTAAAATACAGGCTATATTCAAGGTACAAAGGTTCAACCTATTTCAGGCAAATAAGCTACTGAGCTTTAATCAAACCGTTAAGATACTATTCATGTAAATAAGTCCCTTTTTATAAAATAAACAATTTATTATTACTATTATATTGTAAGTACCTACAATATGTGACAAGGTCAAACAAATATTTGGGTTATTTTCAATGAAATCCTTCTCGATAAAAACCAGTTCTCAGAATAGTACAATTCAAGGTTTAAAATTATCATTATCAATAGATATTGTTGTGATGTTTTCAGAAGAAATACTTAAAATATTTAATTAAACTAGGCTCGTTTCAAGTAAAAATTGTTATTGTATATCAATTCAACTCGATATTTAATACTATTTACATGAAAAGAAGGAAATTGCAAAATAGTTTTGAATGATTAATGATTTTGCACGATTTTTTTTATTGCATAAGCTGGTAAACGAGCAGACGGATCACCTGATAGAAAACAATCGGCGTCGCCCATGGACACCTGGAACACCAGAGGCGTTACAAGTGCGTTACCGACCATTTGGGGATTAGGAGTTTGAGGATCGTTGGGGATTCAGGGATTGGGGAGATTGGGGAAGGAGAAGGTAATTGGGCCTCCAGTAACCTCACTCACACGACGAAACACAACGCAAGCGTTGCTTCACGTCGGTTTTCTGTGAGGCCGTGGTATCACTCCGGTCGAGCCGGCCCATTCGTGCCGAAACATGGCTCTCCTACACTTAACCATACAACGATACACTACAGTTTATTAAAAAATGTATTAATTATTTAGAAAGACAGAGAGAGAGACAGAGATAATTATTACATATTGTCTTTACTTAAATATAAAAATAAGCAAAATTATAAATAAGTTGAATTAGTATACAATAAAAATGGCGCCGTGCGATCAGTCTTAAAATATATCCTCATCCTTGAATACCACATTATCATTATAACTTATATATTTAAGTAGAAATTTACTACAAAAATGTTACATAATCTTATTAAATACGAATTATCATTAAAATATCATGAAAATTAAAAATCATTCTCACTGGGAATGTTTTCATTTCCTTTGGTTTTTTATACCTAAGCATAAATCTTTTTCTTTTTTTAAAACATTAGGTACTCTTATTAGGATTTTCTCCTGTGACATACAAGTGCACATACACATGACACCCAGACTCGAAACAACATTTTGTGAATCACACAAAGAGTTGCTCCGTGCGGAAATCGAACCCGCGACAAATTGCGCGGTAGCCGGTTGCCCAGCCACCGCACCAACCGTGTAGACAATCAATTTTGGTCTATTTTTTTTATAATTTTTACCCCAAACCCGATAATAAATAGCATAACAAATATAAAAGGAAATATTCCAGTCCATTCGACTAAACCTATTGTAAATAGGAACCACTTCAAATCTTTACATGCTATCACAGTGGTTTGATTTTATTCCTTAAATGTAGAAACATAAAAAAATCTAAAACAAAACTAATTATAATCAATTGATTAAAAAACAAACATTTTAGAAACTTCAATATTGAAACACCCCAATTATAAATGACACATTCGCTAGTATAAAACGAAAACTTCAAATGACTAAAATAATGGTATAAAACATTCCATAAATAGTACTTTAAGTATAAATTCCATAATCTAATCTTAGTACGTACAAAATCATTTTGTTATAGACACCCAAAGATGATGATAGTGTTTCAAAATCATGAGTAGGAGCTCATCTTTGTCTTGATGAAGTTGCCTATTACCTTGATGGCTCTGAAAGCGTAGTTAGGCGACAACCGTTGCCGTAGAAGATAATATCCAGTGAGATTCATGGCGAGTAAGATACAGACTAAAACGCTGAAATCCACCCAAAATGATACGCCAGACATTCCCATCAATTTTACGAAGTAACTGAAAAGAAAAAATGGTTATTTTAGTAGGTATAGAAAATAAGTATCGGCAAAATAGTAGGTAATAGTAAAGTAGGTATAAAAAGTGTGGTTCGAAAGTTTTTGAAGTTGTTTCATTCCAGCCCAAGGTCACTCCGACCCTATACATAATTAAGTTAATAATAATAATAAGTTTATTTAGCAAAAAGTTACAGAAATGTACATAAGTAGACATAACAAGTGGGTAGATAGTATTAATCAGAAAAAAATATTTTTACTGGGGTTATACATACTCTAAGGGATGACGAAAACTTCGGTATTTTATAGCTAGGAACACTAAATTTCGAGATATTTCTAGATTTGTAAGGGGACTAGGATTCCCATCATATTCGCAAACAGAGGCCTTAGTACAAGTTTGTTTTACGTTTAAAGTAATCGAGACGAGTACGCGATCGGCACTCAGATTGGTTGGTTCATTGGCGGCGGCCAATCAGAGTGCCGAACTCGTACTCGTTTCGAATACTTTAAACGTAAATGAAACTCGTACTAAGGCCTCTGAAAATCATAATGTTCGTAAATACTAGTAAAGTTAGACTCAAGACCCATATCGGCCATTTAAATCATAAATTTTTTTTTTAATGGAGGTGTATCTAGGGCGTGACGAAAATATGGTTATTTTTGGCTAGGACGATTTTGAGAAAATAGGGTAGATGACTAATTTTTATTTCAATGTCCTTGTATTCGTATTTTTAATTTTTTACGGAAACGAATAGTTCCGAAGATATATCGATTGAAATGTCGCGTGACGTCACTTCTATGTACATTTCATACGTAGAAATGACGTTTTAGCCCCCACTCGTAAACTTTAATTCGTTATATCTAAGTATCAGTTTATTATACAACAAAATTAAAACGTGTCTAACATTTTTTCATTACTTAACTGACGGACTAATTACATTTTTAATGTTCATACCCTGTCATCATCCCTATTCAAGAATAACGGAAGTTTTTTCAATACTTACGCAACATTCTTATATTCACAATAGTCTACATGGTCTGGGCAAATGAGATCATCTCTGGGAGGCCCGTATATTGCTGCTACTAAGCCTTCAATACCATAACGGAGGAAGGAACATGCTCTTGCCAATCTCCATACGATTGGCAAAGGATCATCTCCACTGCCAATGCCATAAACAGCTAGCAGCATCAACGGCACGCTCATTGCTGGACCCATGAATACCGAGTTCTGTGAACATAAATTGGAAACAGATTTAATCAACTGCTTTTTTGATCGCTTACAGCCGAGATATTGGCCAAACGTCGACTCATCACAAAATTAGAATGAATTTTATATGGACTACTAGCTACTTGCGCGCGGTTTCCCCCGCTCTGCTCGTCTCCTATTGTCGTAGCGAGATGTTTTATAGCCTATAGCTTTTCTCGATAAATGGACTATCCAACACAAAAAGAATTATTCAGTTCGAATCAGTAGTTTTGGAAAATAACGCGTTCAAACAAACAAACAAAAAAACAAACTCTTCAGCTTTATAATAATAAAATAGATTAAATGATACATTTTGCTTTACAGTAGTGATGAATTCGAGATAACAACATTTAATGAATATAAGTAAGTAGTAAGAAATGAAATATGAAATGTGCTCTGACAAATAATATTTGACCGGTCATTAAATAAAAGTTAACTAGGTTCGACTAATGCTATATAATCGACTAATAATAAGTGTGGGAGAGCCATGCTTCGGCACGAATGGGCCGGCTCGACCGGAGTGATACCACGGCCTTACAGAAAACCGACGTGAAGCAACGCTTGCGTTGTGTTTCGTCGTGTGAGTGAGGTTACTGGAGGCCCAAATTTCCCTCCCCTTCCCCAATCTCCCTAATTCCTGAATCCCCAACGATCCTCAAACTCCTAATCCCCAAAAGGCCGGTAACGCACTTGTAACGCCTCTGGTGTTCCAGGTGTCCATGGGCGACGCCGATTGCTTACCATCAGGTGATCCGTCTGCTCGTTTACCGGCTTAGGCCATAAAAATAATGCCCTGACCGAATATGAAACTATGATACTTCAATTACTGTTAGGCTATTCTGTAAGAGGTCAATTCGAACCCTCGAAATGAGCTCGATCGCATTCTCGCCCGTCATTGGTCGAGATTATTCTAACAACCAATGAAATGGCGAACCGTCGAGCTCACTTCGAGAATTCGAATTGACATCTAACAAAATAGCCTAGACAAGTGATAATTGATGACAAAACAACTCATTTAATTTTCTACTCACCACAACATTCAACATAGACGAAATAACAGTCCCCATAGACTCTGATATAAGAGCTATAAGTATACACGTAGAGGCGAACATGACTATCCTATCCAGCTCCATGGGTTGTGATGTGATAGGGTAAGCAATGACCACATATAAAAGACTAAAGAATATTGTTGCAGGAGTCCTTGAGATCACCAGCGCAGCATAGTAGGGCTTCAAACCATACCAGCGGTTGAAATACTCTCTTTTAACCAGCTGGACTTCTGTGGGAACTGTAATGAAGAAGAAAGTACCTAATGTTAATTTTAAAGGTAAGATAGAAGGTATATGTATATGGCAATAGGCTCACCCCTTATTACATGGGACTCATAACATAACATAAATAGTGAAATGTGGATGTTAATTTTATGTGCACATGTATTTTTTTATTTTCTCGTATTAAGTTGCAATACTTAGATAATATTTCTTTAATATATAATATTTAATAATATTTCTTTATTTCAAAAACAATTTACATTGTGTGTGAATCAAAGCTTAAAACTAATAACACAAGTAGTACAAAAAGAGAGAAAAAAACACATTTCTTAAATCGAATTACATTTAAAATTATTGCTAAAATACTGATCTCATAACGACAAAATTTATGTGACACAACTACATTAATACACTGTTCAATGATATATTATAATGGTGCTAAGTTTAGGAGTGGGAGGTCGTTACGTCATAACGTGCTACAAAATGTGACACGATGTAACGTCACACGGTATTTCAAATTAATATATCGTCGAAAGTATTTAATTTTGTGAGAAAAGAAAAAATACGTGTCTAATGTTTTAAATTAATGTACCAGACGGACATTAAAATAAAATTTAGGAAACTATCCTATTGTCTACGATTTTTACAAACCTCTTTCGCTTCCTCAACAGTCTTCATTCGTTTGTATTCTTAATTAGACATAAAAGTACTTACAGGCAAGTAAAACCGGCATCATAGGAATATACAGCATGGCAATAGTACAGGCATAGCAGAAACCGAAGTTAAAGATAGTCTTCGAAGCATCATAACCCATCTTGTTGAACAAACTGGCTACAATGAATCCTATGAACAAATGTAAGCCGACGCGTAACCATAGGTAGCTCTGGAATAAAGAAATATTTTGAGTTAATACAATGGCATATAATAAAAAGGAATAAAGGGAGTTAGTTTCATGTACTGATTCAAGTTAATTAGGAAATGTAGCATGTCAAATGTACCAAATTTCAAAGGCAATAGGTCTATTCATTAATTCGACATACATTACAGTGTAACCCTAGCGATTTTTACAGTTATAATAGTTTATTGTAATAATACATTTAAGTGTGGGAGAGCCATGCTTCGGCACGAATGGGCCGGCTCGACCGGAGTGATACCACGGCCTTACAGAAAACCGACGTAAAACAACGCTTGCATTGTGTTCCGTCGTGTGAGTGAGGTTACCAGAGGCCCAATCACCCTCCCCTTCCCCAATCTTCTCAATTCCTGAATCTCCAACGATCCTCTAACTCCTAATCCCCAAAAGGCCGTAATGCACTTGTAACGCCTCTGGTGTTTTAGGTGTCCATGGGCGACGCCGATTGCTTACCATCAGGTGATCCGTCTGCTCGTTTACCGGCTTATGCCATAAAAAAAAATCAGTCGCGGGACAAAGCCGTAAGTGCGCTGTCTTGTTTTCGGTTTTCACAAAATTATGCGGCTAAAAACCGCCGTGGATCCGTCTTACTTTAAAGACATGGTTTTGTAACTAATTAATTATAACTAAGGAAGCAGTGACTATAAGAAGAAGGGCCTATCAGAAGCCCTAAAGGCCAATTGAACAAACGCTACATCTACATTTGTTAGTTTGTTTCACTTTAACGCCATAACTACTAAAACCATTGCTTTGAATTTTTGCACATGTATAGTTAGAAGTCCGGATTAAATAAAAGGGTACTTTTTATCCCGGAAAAGTTTAATATTCCCGAGGGAAAACAAAAATATTGGTATATGTCACATTGGCTTTTTATCCTTTTGTGACGCGAGCGAAACCGCGGGTAAAAGCTAGTAAAAGTATAAAGCAGCATTTGTTAATGACGTATAAACTCTTTTGGGACTCTAAGCACGGATATATTATAACAGCAAACTATATATATAAGTTACCATATGTTAGAAATATATACAGCCTTGACAATGTAATTAAAATTAAAAAATGAGGCAGAGAATAATATAAAAACTCAAATTATATTTACACATTAAGGCATTATTGTAAAAATAGGCTCGATAGTCGCATGTATCGATTTAATATATGATAATTTTATAAAGATATCATAGGAATATTTCGTATATAAACATGTGTATCTTATTTAGATTGTAGATTTATTTTAAAGTATTCCTAATGGTTTTTATAGTCACATTTACAAAACAAATAAGTTCCTACTTTGTTTGAGGGTGAGAAATCATCCGATGACGCGTCTAAGATGAGGCGATAGGGAGTGTCAGATTCTTACTGACTAAAAACCACCTCAGTCCTAGTTCTGATTCGAGCCGGAGTCCCAGTAATCCGTTAGGCCATACTCAACAATACATAGATAATTAGACCGAATTATCATACTTTGTTAATTAATATAAAGAAAATGTAAACAAAATATTATTGGAATGGAATAGAGGAACAAAATAGGATTTTTGTTTAAAATGTGTACATGTTGATCATCACCAAATTGAGAATGATGGGGATGTTGGGCTGTTGGGGACCCCAACAGCCCATGACAGACCATTCCTGACATCCCCTTCGGGTTGGAGCTCGCATAGATGTCTCTGTTAACTATTTAGGCATTTGTGTAGTCTGGTATTGAAAACACCCGTTGTAAGAGCAGTAGTGGTGACAAGGACTGGTGGTGGTCACACTGAATTAATAAAGTACTAGCTTTTACCCGCGGCTTTGCTCGCGTCACAAAAGGATAAAAAGTAGCCTATGTGCCATATATCAATACACACAGCGCCATCTATACCAATAATTTAGTTTTCCCTCGAGAATATCAATTTTTCCGGGATAAAAAGCCTATTATTTAATCCAGACTTCTAACTTTACGTCTGCAAAATTTCAAAGCAATCGGTCTAGTAGTTACGGCGTGAAGGCGGAACAAACAAACAAACTCACTTTCCGATTTATAATATAAGTAAGGATTACTATGTTATTACCTTATTCCTAACTGTCTGTAATAACATCCTCTTTAGTAAAACAATGAACTGCTGGCAAGCTGAACATCCATGCTTATAGTTATGCTTCTCAACACCTCCAGTGTTCAGCTGTTCAATCTCCATCTCCTCAAATTGCTCCCCTGGAGTCTCCTCGATAGCATAAGTCCTCCATCGCTGGTTCTTCCCATTTTCCACAGCTGATACCATTTTGTCAACGTGAGATCCATATTCGCCACTTGAGACTTCGATTACTGGAAATATTTTGGTTAAATTAGAATTATTATGACTGCCTCGTGTCTCGGCAAGGGGTCTCGGGTTCGATTCCCGGGTCAGGCAAAGTAATACTGGGTTTTTTTAAAAATCTCAGTGGTAGCACGGAGTCTGGAAATGTGCCCAGTATCTATATGGCAATAGGCTCACCCCCTATTACATGGGACTCATAACATAAATAGTGAAAAGTGGGTGTTACATTGTACAGTGACATTAAGTGCCGAAATGTGCACCTCTGCCTGATTTGAGTTGATCTAGTGGTCGTGAGTATGACTGACTATCGAACAAACATGTTTGAAGTCGTTAAGTTAATATAGATGAATAGGGGTAATATCAGTTTTGAAAAAAAAATCTCAATCGCAAAATCTGTATTTTTGCCCAGTCTTAGCTGGTTTTACACGAAACTTATAGCAAAACTAGTAAATAATAAACATTACACCTCTGCATACTATTTCGTGCATTTAAATTCATGACGTTTTGTATTATTTTATTTATCATCAAGATACGGATAAAAATTTTCTCCTTAGCGTTCAAGATTTTCTGGGCTTCTTTTAACTATTATAATTTTATGCCCATTAAATCGTGTAATCGTGTAAAAAATGTATTTATATTTTTAAAAAATGTATTTATATTTTTAACAAATGTATTTATATTTTTAAAAAATGTATTTATATTTTTTGTGGTATTTTATCAATAACAGATTAAATTAAAACACTTTTTGAATTAGACTGTAATACCCTATTAATAATACATAAAACACGTTATTCAAACATAATTATGTTAGTTTTACATGAATACATTAAATAAATTAACTACTAACACTTTTAAAACAAATAAGCCGTTAATAAATATGGCAACATTGTTTATGTATGACTGTATGACGTCTAACAGTGTTGCCACATGCAAATTGTCGTATCATCATGACACTCACATATGTAATGAGTATGTAATTGGTCAATTCTTTTATTTCCACATATTGTGACCTCTTCGTAATGTACTGTAATTAGATAAAAACTTGCCTTTTGTTAACCGAAAGAGTAGGTAAAGGTACACATATAAATATGCAATTATATGAAATACTAGCTACTTCCGCACGGTTTCACACGCTCTGCTCATCTCCTATTAGTCGTAGCGTGATGTTTTATAACCTATAGCCATCCTCGATAAATGCGCTATCCAACACAAAAATAATTATTCATATCAGACTTGTATATAGTTACGGAGATTAGCGCGTTCAAACAAACAAACAAAAAAACAAACTCTTCCGCTTTATACATATAATAGTATAAAATAAAGATAATAGTATAAGATATAAGATGACTATTGTTGAAAGAAACATGACACTGTACCTTCGAATATATTTAATTAATTATTGTCCTACCAAATTACCTATTTAAGTGTCACCAAGTTTACTACTTAATCTCTCTAAGGTAAGGTGGTTATTAACTCGTCGAGTACCGGTTTTATAGACACAATTAACTCGTCGAGTACCGGTTTTATAGACACAATTAAAGAACAATAGGTCGCGGTCACCGGTGACCGCTTGGTGTTTGACAGATTAAAGAACAATAGGTCGCGGTCACCGGTGACCGCTTGACAGTTTAAAATACCATTTCTGCGTTTTCTCAGTCACCTTTGACAATACTCCATACAACTTCCTAATCGAAAATTCAATACAAAATACAACTTAAAACTCTAATAATGACTCACTAAAATCAGCAGGATTATAAGTCTTAGGGCAGGGCAGCTGTAGTTCTTTGAGGAAGGGCACCACGCCTGGTGCAGTGCCTTGGTAGGCACAGCGACCACCCGCCACCACGTACACATGGTCAAACTCGGCGAACAGACGCGCTGATGGAGTGTGGAGGGAGCAGACCACGGTCCTCCCTCCCCGGGCGACCCGCTTGAGAAGTGACACACATGTTGAAGATGCTACGTCATCTAGACCTCTGAAAAAAAAAACAATATAAGGTTTCACATTTCTGTCTGATGTTTTTTTCTTAAAATAGAAACTTGTCCTATCAATAACAAACGCAACAAAAAAAGAATTAGCGAAATCGGTTCAGCTATTCACGAGATTTGGGTTAGCAAGACATTTGGCGAATTATTCTTATATTTTAGAACAATTTGCTCTGATTGCTATGTTTTATGACCTTCCTAGGTAAATGAACTATACGTTAACAAAAAAGGTTCTTTGAATTTTAACTTGTAGTTTTGGATTTCAAACAAGGTCTTCAGTTTTTAATGTAAAATATAGATTATAATTACATTATCCCTAACTTAATGACTTTATTGATTACAACTATCAGAATGTCAATAATAATTTGGATTTTGCATTACCCAATACATGAGACTCCATGACAAATAGTCATATAGCTTATATGGCCACCCCCTATTGTATGGAATTCATTGTATAACTTGTGAAGAAGTGGTTGCTACATAACCATGTCTAGTATTTCTTTTTAAGGGGAGAAAATCATCGAATGTCTGCTCCCGCCTGTGTGAGACGGAAGGGAGTGTCAGACTGTTACTGACTAAAAACCACCCCGTTCCTTCTCCTGCGCTTCGAGCCAGAGCCCCGGTAACCCGTTAGGTTATCCGCGACACCATGTCTAGTATAACAGGCGGTTCCACACATAGATATAATAAAAATGTACTTTACACACGTATTCGTATTATTTTGCAACAGGAAATCTAATTTAAGTTGAATGGCGGGTTACATGTACCTAATTCCGCGAATAACGATGTTTACTCATATTTTAGTCTAGCCATCAACAAACTACCTTTTAATTTGAATACAGGACTACTAAAGTTTGATTTGCAATTAAAATAAATTTTGTTTTGTTCCAAAATTATAATCCCTGATAAACCTGCTTGATGAAATATTTCTAAGTTTGTTATTTCAACAGTTTTATCATCTTAGTGGGTCTACAAATAAAATAAAGAATATTTTAAAGCCTGTTTAAAACATAGGCATTTATTAAACGGTTTTTATCATTACACACAATGATTGACCGACATTAGACTCGAGCATGGAGTTTAAACTTAACAAGAAACTTCTAGAGAGAACACATGGCTTAGTGCTGCGGAGGGATACATCGTACGCACCTCCTGCGCTGGTATGGGCTCACTGAGCTCATGTGAGCTGCGCGACATCGCCGCGACCGCGCACGTTGCTCATAAGGAAGAACCCCTCTGTGGTTAGAAACTAGTAGAGCTTTTCTCAGTCAGTAACGTGAGTAACCCATGATTTCAGTTAATTTAGTATGACTCACGAAAGTTATTATAAAAACACAGGTTTACCTATATTATGATTTTTAGTGAAACCGCTGGCAGAATGGATTCTGCCAGATTATCTTATGTATTAGATACTGGAGTATCTAATACATAAGATAATAAAATGTAAGTAAGTAAGGACAACGATTTAAAAATATGATTTTTATTATGTGACTTACGTGGTAGGTTCATCCAAGAATATAACTGGTGGGTTGTTGAGTAGTTCTAGAGCTATTGAAATTCGTTTCCTTTCACCTCCTGATAGCCTCTCCGTTGCTGTATTCCTTGCTTTCTGTAGCCTTAACAGTTGAATGATTTCTTCGGCCTGTAAAGGGAATAATTGCTTGTGATGAGATATTTCTTCGTTTAATAAAAGACTCATGTTATCAGACATTTTGGACCCCATTCATAAGTGATAAACACCTTTTTTAAATACTGTCTTTTGATACGATCAATCTAATGTTCTCTATGTCCTCGAACCTTTTCCACAACGTTTGTAGTCACCATTCCAGCTATTATTATTTCTATTATATAATAGCAAAAATGGATTAGCTTGTCTCGATATAATATGTATGGTTCAGAGGGCCCCTGCCAAACTTGAAGTTCCGGTTTTCATTATGGAATAGGAGGCAAACCCACCTGATGGTAAACGATCAGCGCCGCCCATGATGATGGAATAACAATATATATGTAGACACAAACATAAAATAATCTTTAATCACCATTTTTACTGCTCTCTATAATGTTCGAAATGGTTCTCTAAACAACGACGTGCCTATTTTTCTTTGCGTTACGTACAATATTATTTTTTTTAATGTTACAGATTAATTGTCCACGGACTCTCGGTCCGTGCCCTTGTCATAATTTTTTTTTTACAATACGTCTAATCAATTTTAATAAAGTAAATAAGGTACCTAGTTACACACTACAATTAACCACATCTATAGTTATTACTAAAAGTATAAATTACATAATAATTAGGTATTATCTATTTATATTTCGACGGGCCTACGAAATCAGCCCACAAGATGGGAGAGCCGACCTGACCCAGCAGAAGGCACCCGTACACGAGTATGACGTGAGTGTCAGCAATTGGTTTGGTGAACCGTTTTATTGGGAACGGAACAACCCAACACACAGCGCCACCGACTGTAGGACATTTATGTGTGCATGACGTCTCAACCCTTGCTACGTTGGCCGATTCCAATAAAGCTTACAATAGTCCAAAAGTCAATAGGTTATTTTCTATAGCTTTACGTACAATTTAAAAAAAATATTGCATAATACATACTATAACCAGCTTCTTCTCCTTAGTAATCCCGTTCCCCAACTTGAGATCAGCAGCAATCATCATGGCCTCCTGTACCGTGATGTACGGTTGCAGTAAGTCCTCTTGCATGATGTATCTGGACAGCTTCCTGAACTGGTGGAGGTCTCGAGGCTCGCCATTGGTGAATATTGTTCCTGACGCTCCTGCTACCCTGTATAGGAAATTCTGGTTAATTTAAATCTTTATTGTTATACATGACTGCCTCGTTGGCCTACTGGTTGCAAGTGCAAAAGCAAGGCAAAGTATTACAGAGTTTAAAAAAAATCTCAGTAGTAGCACGGAGTTTGGAAATGTGCCCGGTATATGGAAATAGGCTCACTCAGTGGGTGTTACATTGTACACAGTGGGTGTGGCTTTGAGTACCGCAATGTGCCCTGCCTACCCCTTCGGGGATAAAAGGCGTGATGTTATGCGTGTTATACATTATTTTTTAAAGGAAAACGTGATAATGTTATTTATGTAGGTTTTTGCCACATTTAATATTTATTATAGGCAGTTTTTTATATTTTATTCTTTCCCAAGGATTAATCTATTACTATACCAATTTCAATTAAAATTAGTTCAGTGGTTTAAGCGGCTGCTCCGGACAACCTAGATTACCGGGGCTTCGACTCAACCAGGAGTAAGAACGGGGTAGTTTTTAGTCAGTAAGAGTCTGACACTTCCTCTCACCTCACCCAGGCGGGAGAAGACATTGGATGATTTTCCCCTCTCAAAATAATAATACATTTAGGTAACTATATCTACATGTACACTATGGTGTACTATTTCATATATATACAGTGATATTCATCTTCAGTCACGCGATACAACTAGGCTAAACAAATGTACTCGCTTTAGCAATTAACACAGACCTCGAAATAATGTACTAAGCTGGTATTTATGGCGTATTATGGCGACTGACTTTTGTTGGTTGATGTTTAAAATGACATGTATTTTTGTCACTCCCGCTTCGTTAACTCGTGGAAATTCACCAGAAAATATATTTATTGGAAGAATTATCAATTTCAGGGCAAACGTTCCGCAGTTAAGTTCGTAGAATGAACTCAAATACTTTTTTATTTCTGTTTTCATATTATATTGATCTATATTCAAACAGATACGTGTCCAAAGAGTACTAGTTTGTACTATATTAAACAAAAATGTAGTATAATTGGGATGATGACAGCGTATGAAAATTAAAATTCGAATTTGTCCGTAAGTTAGGTAATGAAAAAATATTAGACACGTATTTTTTATTTTGTCGTATAACGAATCAAAGTTTAGGAGTGGGGGCTAAAGCATTAATTCTACGTATAAAATGTACATAGAAGTGACGTCAAGCGACATTTCAAATCAATATATCGTCGAAAGTATTCGTTTCTGTAAGAAAATAAAAATACGTGTTTAGTGATTTAAAATAATCTATCAGACGGACATTAAAATAAAAATTAGGCATCTACCCTATTACTTTTGACTTTTAACATTTTCTAATTTTCAATTTATCTCGCGTAAATGATGATGGTGATGAGATATTGAGATATTCAAAATAATGTAATGAGTAAAAATTACCTATATCCAGCTAGTATGTTCAGTAATGTACTTTTGCCAGCGCCCGAGGGACCCAAGATGGCAGTCAGCTGCCCCGACCGAAAGTCACCGTTGATACTGCGCAGGATTATCTTTGAACCTGAAAATAAAAGGAAATATAATGTAAGTATTGTAATGAGAATAGATGAATCTTGCGACAATAAATAAACTATAGTAGTAGTAAAGGTCTGGAATTATGAAATGCGACTAGAAGTGCACCGTACATGAAATAAAAATACTCAGATATATTTGGTTTGATATCCTAAAGGCTATGATAATATACTAAGGATAATAATTCAAAAACATAACATAACACCACGCCTTTAACCCCGAAGGGGTAGGCAAAGGCAAATTACGGCATTTAAAGCCAGTGTACAATGTAACACCCACTTTTCACTATTAATGTTATGAGTCCCATCCCATGTAATAGGGGGGGTGAGCCTATTGCCATATATCGGGCACAATTCCAGACTCCGTGCTACTACTGAGATTGTTTTGAAAAAGCCCAGTAATACTTTGCCCGACCCGGGAATCGAACCCGAGACCCCTTGCCTGGCAGTCGTAATTGCGACCATTCGGCCAACGAGACAGTCAATTCAAAAAAAAATATTCTTTTTTCAATATTTGTCACAATCACAATACAATTTTGCCATATTCGATTCTATCATAATACAACTAGTTGATAATTCAGCATAAAGTAATTAAACCACCTTAGGTGTTGCACCTTAGGCGCGGTAATGTTATGATAATATTATCATACCTTGGGTGCATAAGTTCGACACGTGCATTAAAATCATGGCATTTGAACAAAACATGACATATGCACATGACACCAATACTTAAGCGCCAATAACATCAATAAAATCTTCACCTCAGTAACATATTAATTACAATTTTATTACCACAAACTAAATAAGAATTACAAATGACTTCACACATCAACAGCATATAAGTGCCCACTGCTAAGCAAACGTCTCTTCTCAGACAGAGAAGGTTTGAGCATGCGAATTGCCGATTCCAAACTTATAAGCCAGGGAATTAAATCTTCCCGAGCGTACGGCGCGTCGCGTTCCGCGCGCTCCTCAAAGAGCCATCAGACCACCACGGATGGGGCCCAACGGGGTGGTTAGTCAGTAATAGTCTGACACTCCCTCTCGCCTCACACGGGCGGGAAAAGTCATTGAATGATTTTCCCCCTCAAAAAAAGGGAATTAAATCTTGACGTTTGTTTTTATTAAAGTAAGTTGTTGCATCCCAGCCTTAATTATATGTAAAAAAGCAGAATATAGTATTTATATTTAAAAATAATGCAGCCAAAAAACCACGTGCATAATAATTATCTCATAAGTTTTCGTCGTGTTAATGCGGTTACTGGAGGCCCAATTGGCTGCGGATTCGGCACTCACATCATCAACTGGTAGATTCACTATTGGGCTATGGATTTCTTCTACATTAGAGCAGTTCGCCGTTATGAAGTCCCTTAGAAAACCGTAATCTTACCCTCAAAAAGACCAGCGCGTCGCGTTCCGCGCGCCTCAAATAGCCATCACACCACCACAGATGACACCCAATAGGGTTGATGCTAATACGGAACCGTGGAGACCGTAAAAGGTTACCGGCGTTCCGACTCGAAATGCAGGAATAGGAACGGGTTGGTTTTTAGCCAGTTTAAAAGTCTGACACTCCCTCACGCCTCATACAAGCGGGAGAAGACATTCGATGATTTTTCCCCCTTAACAAAAACCCTCAAAAAGAGCAAATACTCTGGTGTATCCACACAGCATACACTATTACAAAATTAAAGTACAAGGTACAGATGAAATACAAACAAAAATTGTCCATATAATAATCGAAATACTATCCGTTGCACTAAGAAGTTACCTTAAAGTTACGAAACCTTAAATTCAAGGCTTAGTCTCGGAGATTGTCAGTAACAGACTGACTGTGGTGTCATGTCGGTGACTTAATAATGGTGTCCAAGGATGCAGCGAAACCATTGACTAGTGCTAAGCTATGTGGTATTTAGAGTTATGGCATAATAAACATGGATATGGTAATAACATGTCTTTATTACCCCGTAAGATGGGCATAGATGCACATTCGTAATGATTTCCTAGGCAATGCAACACCCACCGGTTTTTATACAAACACGAAAATTGAATGAATGGAAATGTAAAAGTACTGCGTTGTAGCCTATTTGCTGAAATAAGTTCACTTGTTTCAGGAGATTACATATTAATTATTAATGACGACAATAATTTGTATTAACCGAGTCAGTCCAGCCGTTTTCAAGTTTTAGCGAAAGTAACGAACTTTTTATACAAAAAGATATAGGGGCAAGGTCCCTTAACGCCGAACGGCACCTAACGCCGGACACTTGTATTATCTTGATAACCAATAACGCGAGCGATTCATTTTTTAGGGGAAAGTCTCCCAGTGGCACCTAAGATTTTGTGTAAAAATTGAATCGTTCCTGTTGTCGAGATAATCCGAGTATCCGGCGTTAGGTGCCGTCTGGCGTTACGGGACTTTCCCCTAGTTACTGAGACTTGGTTCTATTTTTACTTTTTCTTATAACTTGTACCTATCATGTTCTGGATATTATTTATAAAACTCCACCCAATTATTTCGATGTGGTCCAAATCAAAACGACAACAATATTACCAGGTTTTTATAACCAGCTAAACCTAACTGCCAGTCAACCGATGATTAACTATCATTTTAAGCAAAAACTAACCTTAAGTTAACTAGCAAAAGATTCAACAAAAAGGTAATCGCAAAAACAGGTAATTACTATTTAGATACTTGTGCAATATGTATAGTCTGTGAAGTACAGTCGCCAGCAGGTCAACGTACCAATATATGTACATAATTTTTTCATTGAAATTTCGACTATGCACCTAAACAATAAAGGTGAAAATCTAAATTTGATTGAACGGAGTAGTTTGACCAGCTGCTGTCAAGTACATACTTGCAAGTTAAAACAATAGTGTTGGGTCAGATGGGGTCACAACAATTGCAGATGTTAAATTCTTTGAAACAAACTACTCATTTTAATGTTAAATATCTTGCATTTTTATTGTGTTAAAAATATTCATTCGAATCTAGGAGTAAAGTCAGTTTTTTACGTTCAAAATTACCTGTGCATTGTGCATGGTTTAATTGATATAAGTTCTATTTGACTTAAGATTTTGACAGCCAATAAAAAACTGTTGAAGGTAAATCCTCCGCTAACGCCGGACACCGGTGACCCCCATGGCGATTAACGTGTTAATTTTAAATAGATTTTTAAGTGGTGGTGATAACTGCTGTAAGTTTGCTTAGGACCTATTTTTCAATCATCAGTTAATTCTTAACTGTGGGATTACTTTCAAATTTTGACAATTCATAAAAACTGTCAAATGTCAATTTTATTCTACAGTTAAAAATTATCTAAGCATTGAAAAATTGGCTCTTACTAAGGGATCTAGAGTCCGACAATGTCAAAATTATCTTTTTCGTAATTCTTCGTCTAGAATATGACAATTTGTCAACGATCTACTTAAGGTAAAAAAATACGTAGTATATTACCTACTACAAAAACAGGTCACAAGCCCTCAGCCCACTTTCACCGAAAACCTTTGTCAAACGTGCTCAGAATCCAAAATGCAACATTACCTACATGTAACTTAAACATAATAATAAATTCTTCAAACGTTTCATAAGATCTTCTCACCAAAATGGAACTAGGTTACTACCATTTTGTACCTATGTATGGTGAAATAACACTATAATGTTTACATGAGGACCACATAATTCGTCCTGTCTTTATATTTAAGCAATGCTTAGCTTGGATACCTAGATAGATGCATGTAGAAACTGACAACTTGATATATTGGTGTCTTGATTATTACCAAATAAAAATTTTGTATACTAGATAACAAGCAATCATAAATATAGTCTTTCACAAAATTAAAGATATTTTAACAAAACGTTTAATGTTTTTTTAACAAACAACGCTTGCATTGGTTTCCGATGAGTGAGTGAGGTTACCGGAGGCCCAATTACCCTTTTAACTGATTGGTTAGAAGGGTAATTGGGCCCAAGAGAAATCCGAATCCCCAACACCCAAAAGACCGACAACGCACTTGTAACGCCTCTGGGGTTTCGGATGTCCATGGGTGACGCTAATTACTTGCCATCAGATGATCCGTCTGCTCTGTGACCGGCTCATACCATAAAAAAATAAACAATTTGTCATCGTCATTAACGTGTACTAAGGTATTCCCGATCTACGAAGCGCCATAAAAAACACAACACCAAAGACAACAAGACTACTGATTTACTATAACTATAACTGCAACTTTGATCCAACAGAAATAAGGAGTTTTCCAGTGTACGCACCCGTCATCTAAAACCCGCACGGGAATATGTATGTGAAAAACCAAATTGCATCCTAACCTCTTTTGCAACAGCCATCTTTGTATGGCTTTCGTAAACATGCAGTAATGCAGTTATATGATTTCCATACATTTTCTTGCCCTCATACATTTTATTACATCTTTCAAAAGAGATTTCGTCATGATTCATGAGTGTTGTTCTCTTATCCTCGATGTTTGGTGCTTAAGAAAATGAGGGGCTATTGGTAGTTTTGAAACAAAGCATTAAAGGTTGAAATGTATTTGTCAATAGGTACTATGCGTGAAGTTTTGTCACAGTTTACTGGATATTTTACTTTGTTTGTTTATCAGTATTTCTGTATAAACCATCCGTTCCTCTCCTTCCTAAGGTTTATCTTGCGTCCGGCTCTGGTTCATACCATGGCAGTCATGATAGCTAAGGAGGAGCGGGGCGCATGAAGGAACGAACCTTCTCACGCCCCAGCCGTCGCGGGAGGACACTACGGGCGTCGGGAATCACGAGACGATCTCCGGCCACCGTAAACACGGGTCTGTGAGCACGGGTGACTCGCCGCCCGATCAGAACCAGACTCGATTTTTACTAGAATCAAATAATCGCGCTTGACATTTTATGGGACATAATTTCAGATACCAGAACGATCATACTTAGCAAGTTTGAAGAGCATACGTATATAGGTATCAACGAGGCTGTAACTCAGGAGAAAAACCTTTTTAAAAATGTTACTTACAAAACAGACTAAACAAATAACTCCAATCCAAACATTGTATTTCAAACAGAATAACCATGACTACTACCTATGCGCAAGTAAGATCTCTAAACAACTACCGAAAATGTGATTCCCCGAACACACCCAAACTGCAATATTTGCCAACGTATGTATTGCATCGAAATGTGAGTTTACCACTAACCTCATTCCGGAGAACTGACATGAAGACATAGTGGATTCTGTTGCAGTTTCCCACTAGCCAACACGTGCTGTGCTAGTGCATTCTACTCTCGATCAAGTTATAGGACAGTCACGTGCAACGGCTTAGTGAAGCGAAACTATCGATAAAACCAGTTACTTAGGTAACTAACTTGAATTACTTGTGTCGATGGTTAGCAGTTGCTGTTGTGGAACTAACTGCGGTTTTTAGTGGTACAAAATGTAGTCGAGTATAAAAATAAGCTCACATTACCATATATCGGGTGCATTGACAGACTGGACGCTCAGTGCATTGAAAATACTCAAAAATCGAAATCGTCAAATCACTAAAACGTACGAAACTGAAATATCTATCTATCTATCATCATTAGACTATTTCCGTCCACACATGGGCATGAGCCTCCCCAACTGAATTTAATTTTCCCTTCGCATCCAAATATCTTCTTCTTTATTGACGTATAAAAGTGCTGTCTTGTAGCCTATTTGCAGAAATAAATTCACTTATTTTACATGTTTCACTTCTATCGATACTAATCCACAGAATCCTTGCACCTCACTATATTACAGTCACGTGCAGCTTTCTAAAGATTAACCAATTTTCTCTAGGCAACAGTAATTATAGGTGGCGTGGCGGTGCAACACGGTGCACTGCGCTTGCGCACTGCTTGTAGTAAACTTAGTGTGGTCATTCACGTGACGAGTTGTATGACCCCAATTTCCTTCATTAATGTTTATATTTACTTTACTAGGTGCTGTGTAAATATTGCAGTTTTACTATTTTAACTGAGGCAAAAGTAAGATCGGGTAAAATATTACAGGTTTTAAATTTTAAGGAATTTGGATTTGTTGCCAGTATTAATAATCCTACCTCATTTCTTTTCTTATGTTCATCAAAAAAAAAACAATATTTTATGCATACTGTTTTCTTTTTCTTTATTTATAAGTGTAAATTTATTGTGTGTAGCAAGAAATAAAAGGCTTTATTATTTTTATTTTATTTTATTATATTCATCAAAAGAAATTCTGTAGTATATCACTATGATTGCTATATAAAGAATCTTCTTGTTGTCCTTTTAATGAAAATATTGTTACATTGTCATCAGCTACAATTCGTAAAAAGTCAGAGAAGAACCCAATATTTTGGTCTAAAGGCTAAGCAAATATTCCAAAGGCTAGGTCTATTCCAGTTCCTTTACATCTATACATAGCATAGATGACTGCAACAATTTGAGGTCAACGTCCTGTAACCGCAGTTTACAGATACATAGGCACAACTATACGATGCACTACGTGGTGCATAACACTGTACTTACATTTTCAATGCAATAAGAGCCAGTTTCCGATTATTAGTGGAAGATTATAATGCTAAAGACCTTAGTCTGAAATTTTGTGTCTATTAGTAATGAGAACAGACTTTTTGGATAAAGGGACTCTTCTCGCAAATGGGGATGATGACAGGGTATGAAAATTAAAAATATAATTAGTCCGTAAGTTAGGTAATGAAAAATATTAGACACGTATTTTTTTATTTTGTCGTATAATAAAACAATACTTAGATAAAACGAATCAAAGTTTTAGACGTTTTAGACGTTTTAGCCCCCACTCCTAAGTGGGGGCTAAAACGTCATTCCTTAGTATAAAATGTACTGAGAAGTGACGTCACGCGACATTTCAAATCAATATATCTTCGAAACTATTCGTTTCTGTGAGAAAATAAAAATACGTGTCTAATGTTTTTAAATAATCTATCAGACGGACATTAAAATAAAAATTAGTCGTCTACCCCATTCATAGGTATTAAATTAGTAATTATATGCAGTATTTTTAGATGTGCTGAATTTATGAACCAATGGAAAGGAAGAGGACTAAAGACAGTAAAGGAAGATAGATTATTTTGTAGTCTGTAAGGGGAAAACAAAAAAGAAGACAAAGATATACCAAAACCTTGAACAAAGCAAAAGAAGAAACACCCATAGCCTTTGCCGTGCGTGTCGTTTCTTATTTTTAGTTATACAAGGGCGACAAGCCTTTATGCATCACCAGCGCCATCTGGCTAGCGCAAAAATTGTTTCTATTACGGTGTAGTGTCACTAGTCACTGCTATAGATTGCTGGTCATTGAAACGGAAACAACTCGACCCCATTGTTATGTAGATAGCGAACTCTAACATGTCCGCTTATCGATCCACTAACCTAATGTTTATTTATAATTAAACAGGTTTTTGTTAAAAAAGTTTCGAACACTTTTGCTCTTAGACTAAGCTATCAAGTGTCTGAATAATACTTGTTTTCAGTTAATATTAGACTTAGCTAAATGTTTTATTTAACTGTCGAAAGAGTCTGTTTTTACGAGTTTTATTTCTGTACTTTAAAAATATATATTTTTTAATGGGATGCTTAACGAGCAGACGGATCACCCGATGGTAAGCAATGCTAGAGAACGCTAGAGGCGTTACAAGTGCGTTACCGACCTTTTGGGGATTTTGGGGATTAAGAGTTTGAGGATTGTTGTCGATTCATAGATTGGAGAGATTTGGGAGGGAGGGGTAGGGGGTAATTAGGCCTCCGGTGACCGCACTCACATGACGAAACAGAATGCAAGCGTTGCATCACGTCTGTTTTCTGTGAGGCCGTGGTATCACTCCGGTCGAGCCGGCTCATTCGTGCCGAAGCATGGCTCTCCCACACTTAATAATAATAAATAGTGATATTGCCTGCCTATCTAAATAAATTCCCTAAACATAGAGTTTTACTCTACGACGTAAAACTAACCAATGAATTACAATCACAATTACAATTACCATCTCAGTAAACAATGAATGTATCATTTACCTTTGTATTCATCCGTTTACATACACAGGCAATTAGAAAAATCTAGAAAAACAAGTGCAAGGCTGGGCGTAGGTCTAGGTCTTGTGTACTTTACTTGCACATATAATTATATTGAGGTCGCATAGGAATAATTTTACCTTAGTATCCTTCTTGCTAGGGTATTGTAAAATGTTTTAATAAGGTAGTTGACAACTAAGCAAATTCAATACTTTTATCGAAACGTTCAAAAACGATACTGTTCTATGAATTTTGTACGAAATACCTACTTATGACGTCATCTTATTTTCGCGTCAAATAGCACACTTATATCTAAAAAAATGCTTGTATAAATCGAAAATTAAGTATATCGGCAAATGAAAGTGTAATATTTAAATGGACTGAAAAATCAAAATAATTTATTTTTGACCCAGGAAACTACCCAATCGTAAAAACCAGTTTCGTTAAAACCGGCAGCTAAGTTTTTGAATGGTCTGATCAACGGAAAGTTCTATTTTAAGGTTTCAAACAAGCCAGTGTACGAAATAATTAAAACAAAATTTCTTGAAAGAGTTAGTGTTGTTTATAGTCGCTTCTCGAAGATGACGCTAGACCCGTGGAGGACTTAACGGGTTGCCGGGGCTCCGGATCGTAGTGCAGGAGTAGGAACGGGGTGGTCTTTAGTCAGTAAGAGTCTGACACTCCCTCTCGCCTCACTCGGGCGGGAGAAGTAATTGGATGATTTTCCCCCATCAAAAGAAAAGACTGTCGGTCTCGGCGATCTACATCGCTAACCAGAAACTCAAAAATCGGATAATTACTAGTGTACCAATAACTGTTAGTAGTTAAATCAACAGGAAAATATACAGATGCCAATAGAATGATTCAATGATTACTCATTATTGTTTGATACGCAAAATATTGAGATAAATACTCATTGATAGTAAGTAAATACCTACTATATCTATTATTTGTCACCCAGATAAACTAATTCAGGCTATTTGATTCATCTGACGAGCTTTGTCTTAACACCAAATAAAATGTACCTTATGACAAAATCATGATTATTGCTATCGTTGATGACATGTAAATGATGCCTCGTTGGCCGAGTGGTCGCAAGTGCGACTGCCGGTAAAGTATTTTGGGTTCGATTCCCGGGTCGAGCAAATTATTACTGAGTTTTCGAACAATTCTCAGTAGTACCACGGAGTCTGGAATTGTTTATATGGCAATAGGCTCACCCCCTATCACACCCATGCTATTACATGGGGCTCATAACATAAACAGTGAAAAGTGGGCGTTACAATTGTACAATGGCCTTAAGTGCCGTAATATGCACCTCTGGTTACCCCATCTGGGATAAAAGGTGTGATGTTATGTCATGAAAATTTTAGACTAAATAATATTTATCAGAGCACAAGGTTAAGCGCAAATACAGGGTGCCCTCTTTGTTCCACTCTCATTAATACGACACCATCAAGACAAGCCATTTGTTAACTAGTTCTTAAACTCTAATTTCTAAAGGAAGAAACGTTTTGAGCCCTTACTTTTTCCATTCTGCACAGTGTAACTAAGGTCCTGGAAGCTAAGGTTCACAGCCGGGCGTTGTGGTAGATGAGAGAGGTGCGCTCGTCCCAAGGCTCGCGAGTTCACCTCCACTGTGCTCGACATTTTATATCACACTGGCATTCCAGGGGCAAATTCTGCAAAAAAAAAATCAAATAATTAAGATTCCAATTTCAGTTTCACTTGTTTGCTAATTGAAACTTTATTTAATTGACGTAAGAACCTATATTAACTGGTCTTATTTTTATTTACTTATAAGCAGTTATACCTACATTAAAATAACAATTTCCTGAATATCAGTAAAACAGAGCTTATAACTGGTTATCCTAGGCTAGCTTCCTGAAGTATTCTGAATGTTGTTTCATCCGCGAGGTCAAAATTTGATTTTCAAGAGCTTAAGGACGGTAAACCCGATAAACCCGATTGTTGAATTCGGGGTTCAAAGTGAAATTTACGAGCAACTTATGCAACCATAATGAATTGTACCGTTTTTTTTTAAGGGGGGAAAATCATCCAATGACTTTTCCCGCCTTGGGTTGGCGAGAGGGAGTGTCAGACTCTTACTGATTAAAAACACCCCGTTCCTACTCCTCCTCTTCGAGCCGGAGCCCCGGCAACCCGTTAGGCCTTCCGCGGCTCCGTATCGGCATTAGCCCTACTGGTCTATCTGTGTAATCTATGGTGGTCTGATGGCTCTTTGAGACGCGCGCGGAACGCGACACGCCGTATGCATGGCCCTGGTTCTTGTCGGACGGCAAGCTACCCTTGCTCACCATCCGCAGACACGCACCTACGGTGGCCGGAGATCGTCCCGTGTTCCCCAACGCCATAATGAATTGTACCTAGACCTAAACTTTTCTTAGGAATTACACTCGACTTTGACCCGCAAAAATCATACAAAAATACATCCAGTAGTTTTACTTTAACGCGTTCATACAATATTTAAGACGGGTAATGTTTAGTCCCCAAAAGGCCGGTAACGCACTTGTAACGCCTCCTGTGATCCAGGTGTACATGGGTGACGTAGATTGCTCACCATCAGTTGATCCGTCCGCTTGTTTAACGACTTATCTAATAAAAAAAATACAGACACAGTCAGAGAGAAGCAATAGAGGATTTAATTTAGAGATCCCACATTGAGACCCTATTATACCATAGGCGCATAATCCAGTAGTAGTAATGTACTGTAACAGTCCATTATTAGTCCAACCACTGTTGGCCTGTCAAGAATAGAAAAGACAGCAATGGCACTGGTAATCTACAAATGATGGGTTTGCCTTAAATCTCATAGTTTACTAAACATAATCAGTTATAGAACGGATCAAAAGTATATATTACGTAATGCTCACTACTCAATTTATTATGATACTGAACATAATCACATAATCGTGGTCTTTAGAATGTAAATGTGTCTTTCTTCCCATTGTGTTTTATTTCTCATAGCTTATTATACAGTATTTATTCTCAGCATAATAATATTCTATTTCTAACCCGTCACTTTTACACTCGTTTTTATAGAGTAACCGTAGAGTTACTGGATTAGGTTTTTAAGTTACCAGAACTGGATCATCATCAACAGCCAGTGGCCACTGCTAACCAAAGAGGTCTTCTCACACGGAGAAGGTTTGAGCAATCACCACGATGCCCAATACGGGTCGACCATTCCAAACTTATAATTATGAAATTATCCAGTCCAGTATTAGTTCAGGTTTACTCACGATGTTTTCCTTCATCGTTTGTCAGTGATGTCTATTTAATTTCAGAAAGTACATATTTGTTTAATGAGCGTCTCTCGCCATCAAACGTTTTAGTTTAGTGAGTTTAAATTTAAGGACACTCCTTTGTAAAATTCCTTTAAATAAATTTATTTAAAAAATAATATATAGCCCGAAAAAAGTTACATTGGTACTTGCCGTTGGTACTTGGTAGGATTCGAAGTCGCGCCCTCATGCATGAGAGCAGAGCGTCTTTAACCTCAAGGCCACAATGATATGGGACTGTGAAAACTGTGTATAGAACTGGGATTATGAATATCTGTGATAGTGGTTAAGGGTAATTAGAAGACCAAAAATCTGACAAGGGTTCACAGGAGATGCGCGATATTATTGCATGGGTAATGGCCTATGCAATAATATCGCGCATCTCCTGTAGTATGCGCAATGGCGCATACTACTCATGATTGAGAGCCCCATCGACGCTTGAAACTGATCAAGTCACATCCTAGTTCCGTAAGTAAACAATATTGTTTCATTTATTTAAACAATATCACAATAGTAGCTAAACAAAAATAAAAATGTAATTATGAGAATTTATAAAACTGCATATTTGAGAAGTTTTGAATATTAAATGCTGCAATTCAAATACGCAAGCTTACCAGATAATGAGCAAAAAATAATAATATTTATTACATAAATTAATAACAAACACGACATTGACACAAATACGGGTCAAGTTTGCCTGTCTGCGTGTAAGATTTTTTCAACGACACGCAATACATATTTTTTGCAAGTCAGCAAACAATTTGCAATCTATTGTACCGCAAATAGAATGTATTGCAATTTATGTTTAGATTTCTAAGGTTGAACATGACTTGCAGATATTTTAAATATTGCATATTGCAAATATTGTGGTGCAGGGAATTTTTTTGGTCTATGACCATGAAGAAAGGACCTCGAATAAATTGCATTGTGGTCGAATTTTAGTAAATTTAACTGCTAAGAAAAACGTCTCTTTTTGGACATCATCCAATAAATTTTTTCTCCCGCCTGGGTGAGGCGAGAGGGAGTGTCAGACTCTTATTGACTAAAAACCACCCTGTTCCTACTCCTGCACTTCGAACCGGACCTCCGGCAACACGTTAAGTCCTCCGCGGCTCCGTATCCGCGTCAGCCCCCATCTGTCGAGGTCTGATGGCTCCTTGAGGTGCACGCAATCCCGACGGGATTAGAATCCCGAATTATACAGACAAGGCAAGATTTTTTATTAAACAAATATTAAAAGACAGGCCAGAGAAGTCCGTGAAAGAAAGCACAAATCATAATAATACCATAAACACAAAAATAGGTTATATTTTTTATTTTAAATGTTGTCCCACAGTAGGATTTTCTCCTGTGTCACGGGTGCGTTTACAAACATTATTAGTTCACATGCATATGATACCCAGACCCGAAACTACAATTTGTGGATCACATAAAGAATTGCAACAACGTTGCTTGCACCAACCCTGCAGTCAGTACTTATTTAGAATCATACATTATAGTTATAGTAATTCATTGCAAAATCAAAGTCCTTTTGTATAGATATGGTTATGACCTCAATAAAACAGTAGGGAACTGAAGATGAATGGATGTCTTGACCACCTTAAATAGATTAATGGCATCAGGCATAGTATCCGCGTTCATTGCTCATGGTTACCTAGTTACATAGAAAAGCCTTTGATAGATAGCTATAACAGATAGTCTTTAAATGAGTAACTGAACTGGTTTATTGGTAAAATGATCGCAAATAAAATAATCAGCGGAGTATGGCCTTAAACTGGTTTAGGTAAAGTGTTATTGGCTTTTGACCTTAATCTTTAGTAATAAATAGCCCAGAGTATGGGATTACATAGTGATTGGTAATAGGCTTTGGCAAATACATGAACCGAAAGGCTTTGGCAAATGTCGGATAGCAGCACTTTTTTTAAGTTTAAAAGATTTGAAACTGCGGTCTTTAGATGCCTGCTAATTACGATTAGATTTCGGTTATACGATCTTGTTTAGAGGAGACTCTTAGTCTTGTGGTGATAGCCGTGAGTTTATTTATGTTTCATAATTATGTTTATATGTATTTTATGTATCAGTCGCGGTGGTGTCGTGGTAGCCCGGAGGTTATTTCGCCGGCTTTTCATGCATTTTTTTATGAGGGGAAAATCATCGCCTGGGTCTCCCGCCTTCGTCGGCAGGGAGTGTCAGACTCTTACTAAATAAAAACCACCCTATTCCTACTCCTGCCCTTCAGCCGGAGCCCCGACATCCCGTTAAGTCCTCCGCGGCGTTTCTCATGCATGAAGGTGCGAGTTAGTAGCCTACCAATATGACTATTTCCGAGTTATATGTTCTTTCTAGATTATATACTTAGACACCACTTTACAGATTATATATTTAGACACCACTGACGAACAGTGAAGGAAATCATCGTGAGGAAACTGGTAATTTGCTCGGGATTAATGCTCAAACTTTCTCCGTGCGAAAAGAGACTTAATCAGCAGTGGGCACTTATAGTCTGTTGATGTGTGTGTGATGTTATGTACTAATTAAACTCGTATTGGATTACCTACAGCTTCATTTCACTAGCTTTACACGCAAGTACGTTTGCGTGTGCTGCCTACATAATGGTTCGCGTGATCGCTTGTCTTACATATCTGCGATGTTTCATTAACTCATTACAATCGGCCGTTCCTAAGATCAGCACGAACATACATGAAACCAGTGATTAGTATGCAAATAAACACCTTAGTCAATTATATAAATACAGCTTAATTCCGTTTAAATAATTGTTGTTCTAGAAGTTTAGTAAAAGGATAACGGTAGTTTATTTTGGCAATTTGTATGTCTGTCCTTTCTCCAGACAGATTAAATGATGATAAATTACAGTATATTGTGGTTATAAAAACATAATATTATTTATTAGTTTTATGTTTTATTAGTTGACCTTGTTGGTTTGTCTATTGGTTTAAGTCGGATAATGTATATAAGCGAGTTCTAGGTTCTATATCTAACCATGTAAAGTATTTAAATTTGATTTTGTTGGTAGTCGTAGTGGATTTTAACCTGAATTGAGTATCTGAACTATACAAAACTTTTAAAATTGATTTTCTGAAACTCCCAATCCCCAAAAGGCCGGTAACGCACTTGTAATGCCTCTGGTGTTCCAGGTATCCATGGGCGACGCCGATTGCTTACCATCAGGTGATCCGTCTGCTCGTTTACCGGCTTATGCCATAAAAAAATATAGCTTTCTGTCCAATTACATCGTCCAAAGAATACATAATTTTAAATTTCCACATTGCCTAAATCACTTACAGACTACGAAATTCCACATCAAATGTTGTCTAGTTTGCTCTG